CTCCGGAAGGGTCGAAAGGACTCGATCCCTATTCCTCTGAGTAGGGCCTATTTGGGGGGAAGAAAAAAAACCGTAGCGCGCACCGGAGAGGCCCCTGTCGTGAGGTGCGCGGAGGAAACGCAGGCGACCCGCCCGCCGCCTGTCCCCCCGAGTCAGGCTCGCTCCTCACTTCGTCCCCGGACCGTTCTTCCTTCCCCGTAGCGCGTTTCCCCCGAGGACATTCAGGGTAGAACCGCTTCCGGCTTTCGGCTTCCGGCTGCGGAACAAGGCGGCACCCGTAGTCAGGACGGTATTTGGAGTCGGACTGCCGGGCACTTCCGCCCGCCCAGCTCCTCAGGGNNNGGCGCGGCGTCGCCGGCCGCCGCCATGGGCTCCGCGGGCCTCGCGCGGCTGAACGGGCTCTTCGCGGCCTACAAGCCCCCGGGGCTGCACTGGAAGCACCTGCGGGACACGGTGGAGCTGCAGCTTCTGAAGGGTGAGTGCCTCCCGCCAGACCCGCGGCCGCGCCCCCGGGGATCCTCTCGCAGAATAAGGTCGTGCGGCCTAGGCCTCCCCTTTCTGACCGCGCGGTGTCTGCTCCCCGGGGCCCCGCCGGGTCAGCGGGCGCAGGCTCGTCCGTCGCCATGGGCGTCGGTAAGCGGTGGAGTCAGGGTTTGAACTCGGGCGTGTTTCCCAGCTACTGCTCTGTTCCCTGCACGTCTCCCGTCTCCTCCATGTTCGTGCTTCCCCTGCTCCCCCCCCNACTGACCATATCTTGTCCCTGGCCCGCGTCTGCACAGGTCTCAATGCCGGGAAGCCTCCCGCCCCCGAACAGCGCGTTCGCTTCCTCCTGGGCCCCGTGGAAGGTGGCGAAGAGAAGGAGCTGACCCTCACAGCCACCAGTGTGCCCAGCCTCACCAACCACCCGCTGGGTAAGGCACGTTCCGGGCAGAGGCAGCGCTCAGACTCCCGTCCCAGACCTTTGGAGGGCCAGGGTGGAGATGAGGTATTTGAGGGGCAATATGCAGAGCTTCCAGATTAAACACTTCAGGCTTTGCAGGCTGGATTCTGTAGTGCAAAAGCAGCTGCAGGGGATATGTCAAGCAGTGAGACTGGCTGCATTTCGATAAGACTTTATTTATGGGCTCTGATACTTGAATTTCATGTAATTTTCATTATGTCACAGACTGTTACTTGGGTTTTTGTTTTGAGCCTTTGAGAAATGGAAACGTGTTTTATTTAACTCGTGAGCCATTACAAAAACTGGCTTGAGGATTTGGCCTGTGGACTGTAGTTTGCTGACCCCTTTACTATTCTGGGACTCCAGGTGGGTTTTGAGACCCTCAGATACAAGTCCTAAGGAGGTAGGCTTTCGGAGGCTGTAGGTGGACCAATGGGTTGACCAAAAACCTCTAAACCCCTTCAGCGGTGATGTTTAGGGACTCTACAGTATAACAGTAACAAGTATGATGCGTAAGAATCTGTATTAAGCTTTTTCCGGATACCATCTCATTGAATCTTCACCACAGTCCTGTGAGGTGAATCCTAGTCTCATTTCACAAATGCGGAAACTGAGGCTTTGTGTTGACATTAAGTAATAGCCTGCGTTCAGTAGGCTCTTTACCACCCGGTTCCCTAAGTAACAGCCTGTGTTCAGTAGGCTTTTTACCACCCGGTTCCCTCTCCCTAGATTCTTCCTGACCTGCAGAGCTGTAAGTGCTTCAGGCTTATTCCTGCATTCATTCCGTTTGTTGTTGATTTTTTTAAACAGCTTTGTTGAGGTGTAATTGATATACAAAAAGAGTGCATGTATTTTAACATATATATTTTGATGAGTCTTTCATTCTTTCAGTAGTTATTTTCGGAGCAGCTAGTGAGTTCTGAGCCCTGGGGGTAGAGCTGTGAACAGGCAGACCCAGTTCCTGCTTTAAGGAGCTCACAGCCTCCATTTCCTCACTGGGAGAGTGGCCAGGACTCTCCTGCAGGAGCTGGGTAGGGAACCCTATGATCTTGATTCCCGGTGTTATGCCCAATTCACTCAAAGCCTCTCATTGAGGGAATGGTGATAGGTAGAGTAACAGGCATCTTGCGCTGATCTTTCTGTGGGCCGAGGGAACTGAAAAAATGGTTTATGCCCCAGATTCCATGATGAGGAGGGCTGAAAATCCAACCTGATCCTGGTCCAGTCTTCACGAAGCTATGTTCTAGGGATGAGGCCATCACACAGCCCAGAGCCATCCTCATTTGTTTCTTTCTAGTATGTGGACCAGCATTCACCAGCCTGAAGATTGGCGTGGGACACCGGCTGGATGTCCAGGCGTCTGGGGTGCTTGGTAGGTGATGGGATGATCCTGGGGGTGCAGCGATATAGGCTTGGGGGGTATTTCCTTGGTCTCTTACTTTTGAGTGCATCAGAAATTGGGGAGATACTAGGAGCCCAACCCACTTGCAGCCAACAGCCATTTCTCACCGCTGCTCTCCTCCCCTGATTTCTGCCCAAAGTCTGACCAGCTGGTGGGGGGGGGGCCCACAGTCACCCGCCTTTATCAAGTGGGCCCTGCACGTGACGTGGTACAAAGCCGTTTGTGCTCATGTATTCTCCACAGCCACCTTGCTAGGTAGATGCTGTCTGACTTTATGCATGAAGAAAAAAAGGTGATTCGTCCTAGGTCATATGACTGGTGAAGGCCCTGGTCCAGAGAGGGGAAACTGTCATTGTTTGCATGGGGTAGCCAAGCACGTGACTGGCCCCACTAGCCAGGGTCTGGGTGTCGCTGGAGCTGGACACAAAGCCCTGAGTCATGAGCCATCTGTGTCCCCAGGGTCAGGCGGTGTCTGCATCCTCCATATGGGACAGTCACAGTCGCCTTGTCTTGCTTCCTGGGGCACTGGCAGGCAGACGTGACCTCATGCCCCCCTCCCTCTCTAGGAGTGAATGGAGGATCATTTTCTCTTTCAGCCAGAGGGAGAAGCAGCTGGGGGAGGCAGGGAGCGGCCACAATGTCCCCGTTCATGGGGCCTGTCCTTTGTGCTGCTTGCTTCCTGTGCGTTGCCTCAGTCTTCACAACACTGCAGGGACCAGACAGTGTTTTTATCCCCAGTTTACTGATGGGGAGCCTGAGGCCCAAGAAGGCTCAAGGACATGCTTAGAGCCACCCTGACTTAAGTGCGGGTCTTTGTGACGTGGCCAGTGGGCTCTTACTTTTGAGAGCTCAGAAACCCCTGGAGAGCCCTGGCCGGTGTGGCTCAGTTGATTGGACATCATCCTGTGCACTGAAAGGTTACTGGTTCGATTCCGGTCAGGGCACATGTCCGGGTTGCTGGCTCGATCCCTGGTAGGGGGCGTGCAGGAGGCAGTGGATCAGTGACTCATCATTGATGTTTCTGTCTCTCTCTCTTCCTCTCTTTTCCTCTCTCTGAAGACATTTAAAAAAAAAAAATCTTTAAGGAAAGAAAAGAAACTTCTGGAGAGCTCGCTAAGCATCCTCGGCTCCCTCCCCACCACAAGTCAGTCAGTGCTTGTGGGTTGGGCCCAGAAATCTGCAGTTTCACATATACCCAGAGGAGCCCACTTGCTCCCTGTAGAAGCAACTTTCCTGGCCCTCTTGCTGGCTTCAGCAGCATCAGAGGTGAGAGTATTTATTCCTTTCTTTTTAAAGAAATATATTTTATTGATTTCAGAGAGAGGAAGGGAGAGAGATAGATACATCAATGGTGAGAGAGTCATTAATTGGCTTCTTCCTGCACACCCCCGACTGGGGATCGAGACCGCAACCCAGGCATGTGCCCTGACCTGGAATCGAACCATGATTTCCTAGATCCTAGGTCGATGCTCAACCGCTGAGCCACGCCCAGCCAGGCAGGAGTACTTATTCTGATGGGGGTTGTGGGGGTTGGGGTTCCCAGAGAACAGGAAGGGGGAGCCAGGTATGAGATTAGCCTGATGCTTTCAGTGCTCGGCGTGGGACATGGACGCAGTCTCCTCACGGACGTGTACAATGCTCACCTCACCAAGGTACGGGGGCTGAGAACAGCCTGTTTATCCCCTGGTCCTTTCTGCCGGGGTCCTGGGGCCACTGGCAGGATTCTAAAGCTGAGAGGATTCCACTGGGAGCACCCAGGCCATCAGTGAGCACATTTTTGTGGTCACAGGCTGTGGAAGACTAACCGTAGTGTGGCAGTGATGACTGGCATTGCATGCTGACTGCTCTGTGCTGAGCCCTGCACGGGGACTCCTTCCTTGTGAGCACCTTGCAACTTCCCTGCCCGGTGCAATCTGTTGCTAACCCATTTTACAGATGAGAGAACTCAGAGAGGGTGTTGCTTGCGCATGGTCATGTAGTCTGAAAGGACAGAGCTGGGATTTGAACCTGGATCTGTCCCACACCAGAGCCTGATCAGGACACCACTCCATTCTCTTCCCAACTGAGACGTGGACATCACTGTCTAGGCCTTGGGGAGCTTGAGTCCAGGCTGGGCTATGGGGTCTGGCACCGTGAACCTGTGCAGAGATGACACATTAGAAGGTCCATGGCTTTTAATGGTTAAGAGCACAGATTCTGGAGCCAAAACCAGCTTCTGCCTCTGCCAGCTGTGGGCCCTCGTGTGGATCAATTAACATCTATTTGCCTCCACTTCCTCATTTCTTAAGTGGGTACAATAGTGGTGCCTTCTCTATATAGGGTCACTTTGAAGGTTAAATCAGTGACTTCATCTCACATGGCACAGTCATTGTCACATGGTAAATGCTCAGTGTCACTGTTGTCATCTCTATCATTACTGTGATTTGTGGCAGAGGCATTCAGCTGCATAGGTCACACTTAGAGGGGGAGGAGAGAAGCCCACAGGGCATGATAAATGGTCAGGTTTGCCTGGCGTGGAAAGGCATGGAGGCCTGGGGTAGTTGCAGTAACCGTCATCGCTTTTGCGGGCTGCCAGTCCTGCCTGTCATAGGAAATTCCAGTGTCCTTCCCTGGGGACAAGGGCAGCCGGGCAGAGACTGAGTGAGCTCCCTGAAGGAAGACCTGAGGGTCCCCCAGCCTCAGTCCAGCGCCTCCCTCCTCAGTGCTAAGGCTTAGAGTAGAAACACACCTGGATCTCCCCGTCCCTGTCCACACAGGATTACACAGTTCGGGGCCTCCTAGGCAAAGCCACAGATGACTTCAGCGAGGATGGGCGGCTGGTGGAGAAGACCACATATGGTGAGAGCCCACGGGGGCCCAGGGTGGGTGGGAGGAGCTGCTGAGGCTGCCTTGGCACTTGCTTTCGCATGAACACCCCCCCCCCC